TCGCAGAGAGTCTTGCAGTAAGTTTTACTATGTCTTGCTTAGCCATACTTTTTCTGCAATCACAACCTTTTCCTTTTTCCAGCTGCAAGTGTTTGTTTTTGGCAATTGAGAATTCACAAGTTCAGAATGTTTAAATATGACACTTAGCTTCTACTGTTATTTTTAAGTGGAGAGCGCACAAATATGGATGACATTCGTTATTGATTTTCAAATTGTAAATGGTTCAGAATGTCCGTGGTATTATTTTATATATATATATATATATTTTTTTTTTCAGAATTCTCTAATGCATAATTCGTTGTATTTTATGCAGAGGCATATTTACAGATATGAAGGAAAGAATATACAAGTATTTGCAGATGATAGTAGTTTGGCAATCAATCCAACTTATATTCGATCATGGTTGGATCTTTTGTCAAGAACACCTCGAGTTGCTCCATTTCTGTCGAAAGATGACCCTTTCATATCAGCATTAAAAAAGGTTTTATATCATAAACAAAATTGTTCCAATTGATACTATCTACTTTCACTTATCTTTGTATACTGTATCCGCCAAAAGATTGATTGGCAATTTCAAAAGGAAAAAAGAGTTGATCTGAAACATGTCATGTTCAACTTTTGCTCCTTTTCATCAAAAGATGACTCCTTCCTTCGCTTAGGCATCAGAAAAATTTATATCAGAAAACAAAATTGTCAGTTACCATTTTTGTCCCCTTCCATTTAGCTCAACCTGAAAATATTGATCTGAAACATACTTAACGTGCTAAAAAATTCTGAATTTTTGAGAAATTGCCGCTCTCTTTTTGAAATTAGTTTGGTAAAATCTACTATTTTTTATATGGTGGAACTACTAAGGTCAGTGCTAATCCATATTTTCCATGAATGTTTGTCTGATACAAAAGCACGAAATCCATTTATGCAAACGCAATATTTTAGTGGTTGGTTAGTTTGGCTTGGCTGGCTCATACGAATGCTTTAGGTTACTAATTGAAATCACCTCCCAGGTCTCATCCAATGATATGTTTCTACTCTTTTCAGGAACTGGAGGTCCATACCCATGATGTGAGCTTGCAACATGAGCCATTTGACGGGATGTTCACCTTTTATGATTCAACTGCAGCTAAACTTCACATATACCAGGTACTTCGCACATCAATTGTGAACTTGACTCTCTACTTGCTCCATCTTAAAAATTAAGCTCCATTTATTTTAGTTTTGTACAACATTATTTTCTATATTCGTGTTAGCTGATTCTAGATTGGTGGTTATGTTTATCCTTTGGTGTTCTTTCTTGGCTTGGATCTAAGCAAGCTTTATGTTCGTTGTTTCAGGTTGCTAGCGTGACATTCGACTTGGTTTTGCTTTTGGTCTTGGGATCGTATTTAGTTTTACTCTTCTGTTTCCTTGTGATCACAACCAGGGTAAGTTGTATTATTTACTTTATCGACTTCACAAAGTTATCCCTCATGATATAGAATTCCTTAATCATGAATAAAATAGATAAATGTCTATGAGATGAAAAAGGCTCTTAGGACATTTGATTACAAGCACTTGTCACTCAAAATGATCGTATATTCAGTTTGGAATGAATTTTCAAGTGCCTAAAAAGTTTTTAGTACTTGAAAAGGTCCTCTAAACAGGCTCATTGGAAACATAACAATAGTTTTGGAAGAAGTCTTGCGAGAATTGTGAATTACTCAAAAGAGTATAAAACAAATGTTAAATCTGGTTTGTTAATAAGCACCTTTGTCAAAAATACTTTTTTTAAAAGCACCCATAAGCACATTTTGAGTTTGAGATGAACTGTGAGAATAGTGTTTGTAAGTAAAATATTTGTTTTGCTCCTTGGAAAAACTCTTGAAGTGTTTTATTTAAAAGAATTTTGTACTTTTCACCCTTCCAATAGTACAAACTCACAAAATGTTTCTGTTCCATAGGGTCTCGACGATCTGATTGGTCTATTTAGACGCCCTCCTTCCCGAAAAGTAAAAACAGCTTGATGACTGCAGTAGATTTTGATGCTTGGATTTGCATCATTGCCACCCGAATTTTTTCCCATCTAGATTAGACAGGCCTTACGATGGGGTCCAATGTGGCATAAGAGATCGAGGAACTGAAGATTTTATGTGGCATTCCTCTCAGGATTCTCTCTTTCTTCTTTTTGACATCCTTACATAATAACAGTTATGAGAACTCTCGAGGTGCGATAATTTTTCGTTTTCTCATTTAAATTCGCACAGTTTAACCCTCATTTGTGGTTTCCACTTTGGGCAATGATTTTTTCCTTAGAATTTGTTGGTGTCCATTATTTCTTGCTCAGTTGATGTTAGAGACAGGCAATAGATTCAGTTCGAACAGTTCTGAAAATCTCTCAGAATATATTGATGTTATTTATCATTATTATTTCACAGTTGCCTGATGGCTTTGGAATTAACTTCACTTAGTCATTAGTTTTTGTTATTTTGTTAATTACTCAGCTTTATCAAACCCCTGACTTTCAGTATGAAAGCATGGAGTTACTGACAGGTGAAATAATATACATGATTTCATCTCACATATCTCCATTTCAAGTTCAAAATCCAGAGTGATAGGCTTTTGTTCGTTTCCAAATTCTTCTACCTTTTTCTCAATTGGCAGATGGGGTACAATCCAGAATCCATACTTTCTAAGATCATAATGATATGTTAGTTCTTGTTCTTGCTTCCTAGTGTCTTATTTGATTCTTATAGCTCTTTCTTGAACAAGAACATTTCAGGTTTCATCATGGAATGCTTCTCAAAGCCAGGGATGAATTATATTACTTGCTTGGACTTGCAATCGTCATATGGTTTTTTGCTTGGGTGTATTATTTAGTCTTTAAAAATGGATCTCTTAATGCTTAGTTTGAGATTGTTGTAGCTGTCCTTTTTTTAAGAAAATAATTACTTGAAGTATTGAATAGTTAGTGTGTTGGGATTTATGCTCTAATTATTCATTCCAATCGCCATTAACTTTTGAATTAATTGCATCACAAAAGAAAAAATCAGCATGGCTGTACATTAGAATGCACGAACAAATCAATGCAAACATTCATTTAATCATATATATCAAAGTCCAAAGCATGTTGTTGGGGTTTATGCTTTAACTAGTAGACAACACGTAGTAAACAAACTCAACGAGTGAACCCTTGTATCACTGTCACATGCCCGAATATGAAAAAAAAAAAAAAAAAAAAAAAAAAA